GAGGCCAAGGATGCACCGGCACCTACCGAGGAGGCCAAGGATATACCGGCACCTACTGATGAGGCCAAGGATGCACCGGCACCTACTGATGAGGCCAAGGATGCACCGGCACCTACTGATGAGGCCAAGGATGTACCGGCACCTACTGAGGGGGGCAGTGCAATTGCTGTGAGCACCATATCAAGTATGACACACCCTGTTTATGTAGTGGCGGAAAGATCCTTGTTGGTGGAGCGGACTTGCCTGGAACATGTGCAAGAAATTGCGGAAGATGTTCTCTTGGCAAAAAAAGCTTTTATGCTGGCTGTAGCGGCCTTCAATAGCGCGAGGTCCCCAACGGAGTCTTCAACACGCGTAGCTGAGGCTCCAACCGAGCGGCATATTGCACCACCAGCGTGGCTCACTGGGGCACTGGCTCCACGAATGCCGTTGAAACAGCGGCGACATGGTGTCCAGCGTGTGCGCTACTCTACGCTGGGTGACGCAGTTGTGCGGTCAGCGTGGGGTGGTAGCTCTTAGGGACTCGCAGGGATCCGGCTTGGCCGGAATGTATACAAAAGGGCGTCTTAAAAAGGATGTGTATCAGGAGAAATAACAACGCCACAGGGTTGTTCTTGATTCAATTTGTTTTCATTTTTACCGTGCTGTCTATTCTATTTTCGTTTCTCTGTGCGTGTGTGTGGGGATAGACCTATCATGGTTTACCTTGTGCCTCTCTGGCGTGTGATGACGTCTGCACTCTGCAGTCTGGATGTAAGCATATTTGATGAATAGTGTATGGTTTGAGTTAGTTCACTGCTGTTGCGAGAGGGGTTGACATCTGTGCTACTGCTGCTTCCGGATGGAAACCCAAGCAGAGTTCATGCGTCTTTTCTCTTTCATGTTCTGCTCCACACGAACGCGTCAATGAAGGGAAGGTAACCCATTGCGCAAGCAGTAAAGTGGCTGCGAGCCAAGAGGTACATTTGACAGCAAGGAATAAGTATAGCATAGGTGCAACGCAAAGTGTACGTCCAGCACCAGAGGTGATTGCCGTGCTACAGGAGTGCGAGTGCCTTTACTGCGATGGAGCAACCGGCTGAACATTTGTCCAATGCGTCATCAAACGCGCAACTGCAAACAGTACCACTGGCAGCCCTGCCGGGCGACGATGGTGCGGTTCAACACAATACAACACCAAGCGTTGAGAAGGAAGAAGCGCCGATGGAAGGTGTGAAATCTGCTGCACCAGTTCCTCCACAGCTTTTAGTAGTGGATCTGGTGGTGGCAGCTGACGCCAAACCGAACGAAGAGGTGCAGGAGTCCACCTTGTCACCAAAGACAGATGCGTGCGGTGCCACAAGCGCTGTGGCATCGTGTGACCAGCCCGCGAACGCAAGCACACCCTCGTATCACACATTGGAGTTTGCGCTGGAGGATGAGCGTGCGCACATGGAGCAAGTGGAGCAAATCCTTGAGGAGGCCCAGGAGGCGGAGCGGCAGCGGTATGCATCTGAGGGGAACCTGGAGTCGCAGACCACAGAGGAGGAGGAGGAGGAGGATGAGGAAGCAGATGAGCTTTCTGCTGAGGAGGTGGAGCCGTGTGTGGATGAGCTGGCTTCACGGGAGACGAACGACAGCTCCAAGGCTGATTTCGCACTGGACGTTGCTGCTGCCGCTGGAGCTGATGATGGTGCTGCTGCTGTCGATGCCCGTGCCGATTCGACGGAGCCAGTGACAACTAAGGCTGCTGCAGACACTGATACTTCTGCCTTGGCGACCCCTACGAAAAATGGCAGCGGAGGGTGTTCTGCATCTGGATCGAGGCGGAGCTCTCACGCGTCGCGGCGGAGCTCTCACACCTGGCGGCAGAGGCGTGCATCCATGCAACGCGATGAGAACGGACGACTGCACATGCGGTACTTGTCTCTGACCGATGCTGTTGTGAAGTCAGCGTGGGGAAGGGCGAAAACGAGGTCTGACGCGGCGTTGGATGCGCAGCTGCTTTCAGAGGCAGTTCGTGCCTCAACAGCGCAGCCGCAGAGCCGCGCCAACGCTGGCGTTTTGCGACCACCGAAGGCAAAGCCTGTGGCACCGCCAATGGGGCTTCTGCATCCGCTGGGTGTGGGGGTGCCAGGCAACCGTTGCTCCGGTCCACCAGACGCCCATCCAGTTGCACGATTTCTTCCAGTTCTGCCGCATGTGACGCGAGGAGCTGGATTTTTTTCGATTAAGCGGACTTGTGAACGCATCGTCTGCACGGCCTCACCGAAACTGGGGAGGGAGGCTGCGCGCGTGCCGTCGGCTTGGGCTTCTCCCGTTGGTACGGAGCCCGCCCTGCCGGGCGTGATTGAGACCACCGCCCCCCGCACGGCGCACAGCTACGAAGAGGGGAGCAACCGCTCTGCCACGCCTACTGCAACGGGCACTGCCACGCCATTATCTCACAACCTCCCACGTGCTTGGAAGACACTACTGCCAAGCGTGTTTGAGTCGGTCACGTGCGTGCCTCCGATGCAGAGGGAATGCGAGAATAACACCTGCGGAAAATCCAACACACTGGAAGGAGAGGCAGCATCACCTCAAGCACCACCAACAGCAACAGCACCAGACGCAGCAGCAGCAGCAGCACCAGATACAGCAACTGCAGCAACACCACCCACAAAAGCAGCAGTGACAGACAACTGCATTGACAGAGAGACTTTCCCGAAAGAGGCCGATGCGGTGTTGGAGAGCTGGCCAAGCGAGACTGTTGCGCCTCATGCTCCTGGCGAGCACTGGCCTTCAGCCGCAGTGGTGCTGCACGTCCCCACGCCTCCGTCAGCGCCACCCCGAGCCAGCGCCGTGGATGGCGCTCGACGGCTGTCACGCCCGCCGCCACGCCCCTCGGCGCCCGAAGAAGTCATCATCGATGGCATGCGGCGCTCCTCGTGCATGCTGCCGGTGTACGTCGCGGCGGAGGAGGNCCCGAAGAAGTCATCATCGATGGCATGCGGCGCTCCTCGTGCATGCTGCCGGTGTACGTCGCGGCGGAGGAGGTGTTGGAGGATAAGCGTGGCTTCTTGGAACGCATTCAGGACATCATCGAGGAGGTCCATGAGGAGGCGCTGCGCGAGGCAGAGGAGGAGGGGGAGCTGTGAGTCCTGGCAGAGGCAACACGTGCCCAAAGGTCTCTTTCCCAGCTTTGTTGCGTTTGCGCCGATTATATGGAAATTGTGTGGTTACACAGCGCTACTACGATGTGTTTCTTATGGAACTATGGAATTTATTCAAATGCGCAACCACCTTTTTTCTTCCTTCTTTCCTTTTTTTTTGGTTTCATTTTGTTTTTTATTGATCTTGGCTGCCCAGCCCGTGCTCATTGTGTACCCCACTCCCATTGTTGTTGGCGTACCGCAACGGGGACTCCACCTCCGTGTAATTGTTTGTTTGTTTTCCTCTTGTTTGTTACGCGTACGGCTATGTAGTATCCTTCTGCAGGAGTACAACCGCTATGTAAGTTGTTCTTGTGAGGGGTATATGTGTCTGGGTGTGTGCCTGCGGCAAACAAAGACAACTGTGTCTCTCAAATTTCCTTGTCCCGTTCCTCTGGAGTAGTAAACGTGTTGTCGCGGGCCATAAAGCAACGGTTGCTCCGCCATCTTCGCTTTTTTTTTTTTCCGTTGTTGCGTCTTGTTGTTTGTGCTATACTGGTGCCCTCTCACTATGAGGGACGCGGAACCGCATTGCGTGGCCGACAGGCAGCCATAAGGTGAATAAATACACACTTAACTGAGACGGGGGTAGGAACCCAATCAGCGCACGGCTGCTGCAGCAACGCGAGAGAGGGAGTGTCTGTGAGAGCGTTGGCCAGCGATGGAGAGAAACGATGACAAGTCCGCCGTTGTGCCGACCGTGGCGCCGCACGTGGCATCGGCGAATGACCGCCGGGCGTCAGTGCCGCTGCGCGCCCGCGTCTCCCGCCGCATGACGGTGCCGTGTCTGCGATCTGCTGAGAAGGGCAGCTGCTGGCAGGACACTGCTGCTGTGTCTGCCGCTGTTGTTGCTACTTCTCCCCGGCGTATGTGGCGCATCCCGCACGGCCGCGGGGGAACCAAGATGGAGCCACGGGTGCTGGCGCGTAAAGACACCAGAGCTGCTGGATCGTCAGAGAAACCACGGCTGCTGCTGCCACGCTGCAAACCAAATACGGTACACATGACGTTCACCAACGCGGGGAACGCCGTCGTGCGCTCTGCTTGGGGATCGGTGGGCAGCCCGACGGACCCAACAGATGGGAAGGTGACATTTCTCACGTATCCGCGCAGTGGCAGCAGTAGAGGCCGAAAGGTTAAGGCAGAGGAGGCGGTGACAGAGCGGCTGCCGTGGGGGCGGTTCACGATACAGCGCACACAGCCGCTGCCGCCGATCGAGAAGTCGGAGCAGCAGGTAGCTTTGCCCGGTAACGGCGCCGTCATTTCAGTTCAAGAAGACA